ATTTACCCATTGCAATATGAAATGCTTGACAACTTCACTCCTTTTTTCCGTTTATCACAATGTCCTATATTGGTTCTGATATGAGGATTTTGGTCTTCTATACACTGAGCTGTAATTCATACTGAAGACTGTAATCCTAGACCTTTATCAGCAAGTGCTTCAAATCTTCTTTGTATTCAGCAAGCAAAGTTGTATCATAAGCATATTTCAGGTTGTTAATAAACATTACTCTAATCCTGATGCATTGGGTATAGCTGAGTAAAATGAGAATTCCAGAACACTTCATTGTGTTCATGAAGAGCTTGTACAGGGACCAAGATACAGTTGTTCGAACAGAACCAAAGAATACCACATGGTGTAAAATCAAGAAAGGTATGCGTCAGGGTTGTATCCTTTCACTTTACTTATTCAACCCATATGCTGAGAAAAAATACAAATATTAAGGTTTATTAATATACATGGGAAATAGTTAAGTCGCCAACTTTTTATATTGAACCACTGCTACTGAAAATATAGAGGATTTATAAAATGCAATCCTGTACTTAGTTTACAATAAAAATGTGGATAAATAAAACAAGACAAAAATATAGGGCTTCTTATCTTTAAGGTAATTTAGATCCCTACTAGATTAGGTCTGCTTTTGAGCTTGGTATTAAGGTAAGAATAACAGATTTTAAGTTTCTTCAACGAGCAAAACATACACTAGTTCAAGTTGTAGTCAAAACTCAAAGGGAGAAGATAAAAGATTCCAATTGTGTAGAAAATGACAGGGGCTCCCAGCTGGCAGTACATCCAAGAGAATTGAAAGAATAAATGTCAGCTGTACCTCTGTGCTACACAAGCCACTGTATCCACATCCCTTAGTAGGGCTTATTGTTGTTGTTAGGTGCCACGGAGTTGGTTCCAACCCACAGTGACCCTATGCACAACAGAACGAACACTGCATGGTCCTGCACCATCCTTACATTCTATGCCTGAGCCCATTGTTGCAGCCACTGTGTCAATCCATCTCATTAAGGCCTTTTTCATTTTTGCTGGCCCTCCGATTTATTAATAAACACCATGTCCTTTTCCAGGGACTAGTCTCCTCTGACAATATGCCCAAAGTATTTAAGATGAAATCTCTCCATTCTTCCCTCTAAGGAGCACTCTGCCCATACTTCTTCCAAGGCACACGAGTTTTTCCTTTTAGCAGTCCATGGTACTTTCACTATTCCTCTCCAGTACCACAATTCAAGTGCATTAGTAGGGCTTAGAACAAACCATGGGTGTCTGATCAGATGATTCACTAGGGAACTTAAAATTTATGTTAGTAGTATTGCAAATTACTTCTCCATATGAAACAGTATCTCACATATATAGATAGTATATCTATCTATCTATAGAAAGGGAGGACTTCAAGAAGCTTTTGAAAAATGGAATTAAAAGATAATAGAATTTTTACATGAATGTTTTGAAGCTCCTTGTGTGTGTATACTTACATATGTATACACA